AAGAGACGCTCCGGCAACATTTAATTAGCGGCCAGGAACATGCTTTCCCAGGCGCACGACTTATTTCGCCGCCAGCTGCTGCGGCTTGCTTCCTAGCAACATGCGGCACTCACATCTGATTGCTTCTCTCCAGGCGAGGGGGGCGACCGGCCCGCCTGCTGTTACAGCCGGGGGTGGGGTGGGGTGTTTGTGGGGGGGACCCCGGATCCAGGGCTGATTTTCCAGAGGAAGTGAGTGATCTCTTAGTCCTGCAAAGCCAGACCCGGTGCTGAAGCCTCAAGAGCTTTGAACTCCCTTCCCACCCCTCTCCTTCAAGTTCACGGTTAGAGCAGGCAGAAGGAGTGCCGCCAGCTGCAACACGGACAGAGCAGCCTGGTCCAGGGCAGTCCGCTGGGATGGGGTGCAGCTAGGGAAGAGTCTTGCCCCATAGGAGGCAGAGCCTGCCCCTCAGAACACGGGTGTGTGTGTGTGTGTGTGTGTGTGTGGCGGGGGTGGGGGGGGAGGCCTTGGGCCACTCTGGTTTGGACAAGGGGGAAGGAAAGCCTTATTATTATTATTATTATTATTATTTTAATAATTTTGATTTTTTACAGAGGAAAGGAGAGGGCTAGTGAGAAACATCAATGAGAGAGAAACACTGATCAGCTGCCTCCTGCACTCCCCCTACTGGGGATGTGCCCGCAACCAAGGTACATGCCCTTGACCGGAATTGAACCCGGGGCCCTGCAGTCCGCAGGCCCGATGCTCTATCTATGGAGCCACACCGGCCAGGGTGGAAAAACCTTATTTTAAGAGGCCCTTTTTGATTTTTGCCGTGCTCCAGGATTTTAGTCATTTACGTGCGCCACGAGAAGAAAAAGGTGGAAAGCCCCCGGCCGGGGTCGTCTCCATCTCACACATGACACACGAGAAGGGGCTCAGGCACAGAGGGACTAGCTCAGGTCGGATTTCACAGCCCGCCCTGCAGCCCGGTGAGGGCCCGGGGAAGGACCAGGGGCCGCGGAGGGCAGATGGCATATCTGGGACTCCCAGGGCCCGCCGTGGCCAGGTGGGCGGGATGGAAAATCCCTCCTGAGCCACGCCGGCGGGAGCAGGGGCGATGGCCCATGGGATAAGGGCCGTCGGAGAGACAGCGCAGCGCTGGCGGGGCGGGCTGGTGGCAGATGGACAGCCGCGGGCCCAGCCCTGACCAGCTGTTGTTTGCCGAGGAGGGTGGGTGCCCGGTGACAGCTGGATTAGGTGTACTTAGCAACCTCGGTGGCCACTGGGTGGAGACACGCAGTGGGCCCTTCTGACTGGCCCTCCCCGCGCCCCCAGGCCCCGGGAGCTTAGAGCTTGTTAATCCCCGTCCCCATGGCGACAGGCAGCGAAGGACCATCCCAGGTTCTGGAATCTCCCACCTCCCAGGGCCCGAGGCCCACGAGCTTCTTCCAGATGCTGCGAACCTCCGCCTTCTGGAAAGGAAGGTGTGAGACTCGGGTGCCGGGCACCGAGCCTGCAACCGGCGTGTTCTCTGGGCGCTTCCCTCGTGGCTTCTGTCCCCCCTGGGTTTGGGGCTCAGGGTTTCATCTCAGGGTTGGCACTCAGGAATGAGGGCGTGCCGCTTCCTGCCACGGACTCTGCCTGAGATGGGAGCTCGGGGAGACAGACAGGGCGATCAGACAAGATCTAAGGTGGTGACAGGAGAAAAATACAGTCGGATGCCGTCAGTGCTCCAAGTTCAGCGTGTTTCCTGGACTTGCCCCTCACTCGGGGGCGCCCAGAGCTGCCTATGTCCTGGGAGCGGGGGTGGGGATGGGGGGGGGGCGTGCAGGAGGCCGCGGGCCTGCCCTCTGCTCCCTGTGTCTCGGCTGCCAGCCCACGTGGTGACCCAGTCAGTCTGCTGCCTCTGAGCGCTGTGAGCTCTGCTGATAGGGCTGCGCCGGCTCTAAATCCCCGCCACATACTCCTCCATCAGACAGGGAGCAAGAAGCAGTGCTTTCCCGTCCATGCCCGTTATGCCCACCCCCACCAGCACCAAACCCGTTTCTTGCCTGCTCCCAGGCTCCCGAGGTCCTTTCCTGAAAGTAGCTTTGTGCCCAGCTCACCTTTGTGATCCTGCCTGTCCGGTCACCTGGCTTCACATCATGCCCTTTGCATGCACGTCACTGCGTCGTCTGCGCCATTTCTGCATCCACCCTTTGTCCACGCCCCCACCCCCCTACCCTCACCCCGCGCATCGCCCTGGGCCCTCACCGCTACCTCCTCTTATTTTGAGCTCAGGTGTCACCTCCTCTGGGAAGTGCTCTTTGATACCTCTATACCTCTTCTCACCACCTTCTCTATCTTTCTTTTTCTCTCTCACACACACAGACAGGTGCACGCACCCTGTGTCAGCACTGGTAGCATTCAAATGGAGTTTAAAAAAATTTTTCTCTCCCCATTCGCCTTGAAGATGCTCAGGGCAGTCACCAGGTTTTAGCCATATTTTCTTTGAGTGTCAATATATTTTTGAGGAGGAAGGAGGAAGGCGAGAAAGACTCCCGAGGGATGATTCTTGAGTCATTGGGCTTTTTAAACTTAATTTTTGGCTGCTGATTTTAACCATCTGGCTTAATCTGCAGTTGGCTGGCCAAAAAGATGGAGGAGGATGGGTGACTGGCTCTTACATTATCATTTTCTGATTAAAACCACAGGGAAAACGAGCTTTTAATAGTAGTCATAGTACTAACAGCAGCAATAGCAGCGAGATGGGTTTGCATCTGCATTCACCCTCTGTCCCCGCAGGAGCCCGAGGAGCAGTGTGAGCGGCACCCTGGGTGAGCACCAGCTGTATACAGCAGGGTACACAGTTATCCTAACGGATGACTAACGCGGGCTGCGGAGGTGGGGGTGGTTGAGGTACAGGTCCACGCAGAGCTGGGGTACCCAGGCTGTGTCTCCGCCCCAGCCCTCACCCCCAAGCAGACTGGAGGGAGGGGCAGCCGGGGAGCCGTGGCATGGGCACAGAGTGTGTGCAGGAGGCAGCCGATCAGACCTCTGTCCCCCCCCCGAGGGTCTCCCCTGCTGCAGTCACTCGTACGTAAGGACCTGGACTGTCCTCCCAGCCACGACTGAGCGGCACGCCCTCATTCCTGAGTGCCAGAGCCCCAGCCCACCCACTGCCTCTGTCCTGAGGGGAAATTGAGGTCCGGTTTGGGAGGGGCGTGTGGCCCGGGACAGCCTGCGCACCGGGTCTGTGTCACCTGCGTCTAGACAGCAGGTGTCTGCTGGCCAGGCCCCGGACACCGGGCTGACCCTCAGTTGACATTTCCTCCGGTTCAAGGGGATTACACAAATCCGAGGTGGCTAAGCGGCCCCGGGGCTCTCTGGAAACAGCCCCGCTGTCTGCCCCTCCCTCCCCCCAGCCAGCAGTCCTGACACCGAGGCTGGCCTTCCCGGCAAGACTCGCTGTGCTGAACCGCAGAGCATGTGCACAATTTAATTTTAACCCGGGTGGGCGCGGGGAAGAGCCAGATTAACTGCCAGAACCAATTTCCGAGCCAGGTCAGAGTCCGCCCCCAAATAGCAGACCACCCTGGGGGCAGGGGGGCTGTGCAGGGTCCACGTGGTCAGATGGCTGTTCCAGTGCTAGGTGCACGCTTCCGTAACTTACGGAAGGCCTGGCTGCAGCTTGCGTACAGTTTTATAAGCCAGTTCTTTTTCCTATTTTTATATATTTTAATTTTTTAAAGATGTATTTTTATTGATTTCAGAAAGGAAGGGAGAGGGGAAGCGAGACAGAAACATCAATGAGAGAATCATGGATCGACTGCCTCCTGCAAGCCCCCCACTGGGGATCGAGCCCAAAACCTGGGATGTGCACTGATAGGGAATCGAACCCGAGACCCTTGAGGCCGCAGGCCGACGCTCTGTCCACTGAGCTAAACTGGCGAGGGCTGCCCCTTCTCAAAGTGCTTGTCTGGTTGGCGTCCAAGACACCGCGCGTGCAGTCTAACCGCTCCACCCGTGTCCTCTGCAGCTCGTTCTTGCAGCATTTACAAGCCGGTCTTCTTTTCCTCGCTGTCTGCTTTTTTCCTGAGCGACCTCACCCCCACCATGGCTTCGATTCATTAGCATGGTTTGGGGAGTGATGGTCATGCATTTTAATTCCCTAATAAGATAGGCATCTTCATGGTTTGCATTTCCAACCTCTAAGGACACCCATTGGTTCATTTACTTGTCTCGCCTCCCCCTGCTCCACAGAGCTTCCCTCCCCTCCCTTCCACTGCGGGGAGCACCCTTCCCTCTGACACCGGGAGCACTCACGCCTCCTTCACGGACCTTCTCACTGACCCACCACATGCGTGTCCAGCTTCCTTAGACCGAGGGCCTGGGGGGAGCAGTGACAGTCACAGCTGCCTGTCCCCCGGGGCCCGGCCTGTTTGCTCAGTCCCCCTGTGTTTGCGCATTCTGGTCGAACGGGCAATTTCTGCTGTGGCCGGGACCACGCTATCTCTTTGGGCTGATAATGCTCAGGTTTCAAAAACAATGTGTGTATCCAGAATAGAGGAAAAATGAATAGAGGAAGAGAATAAGGGGAAGGGAGCCATACTTTTTTTTTTCTTCTTCTTTCTTAAATATATTGTTACTGATTTCAGAGAGGAAGGGAGAGGGACAGAGAAACATCAATGATGAGAGAGAAACATCAATGATGAGGATCGGCTGCCTCCTGCACGCCCCCTATTGGGGATCAAGCCTGTAACCCAGACATGGGCCTTGGCAGGGGAAGCGAACTGGGACCTTCTGGTTCCTAGGCTGACACTCAACCACTGAGCAATGGACATGTTGCCAGGTTGTAGGCAGGGGCGATTGGGAATGGTTTCTCTTCGCATGCCAAGTGACATCCTGCCCGCATCCAGGCACACGCGTGTTCAACAGGCCTGTTTGGCACTCGGTGCCAGGTGATGGCTTGGCTAAATAAGGGAAAACACTGTGTCTGCGCTGAAAGGGAAGACACCGTATTTGTCTTTTTGCCTGAGGCCAGGGGAGGGGAGGGGAGGGAAAGAGAGGGGTGATGAGGGGAGGGGAAGCTTCCCTTATGCAGCCAGGCCTGTGCCACCAGCTTGGAGCTGCCAGAAGCAGAACTGCAGATGCACTTAGAAGTGATCCAGCACCCGCTGCCAGGAAACAAGGAAGCGTGCCACACAAGCTGTGCCAGCACTTGGCTCGTGCCCATGCTCGGCCCCGCCTCTTCTCTGCCTGCGGGGCGTGCGAGCACACGGCCCGCCTGTGTTCTGGGCACCCGGGCTGCTGAGAGGGGCAGAGGCAGCGGGCGGCGGCTGGATGGTCAGCCTTCCAGCGGGCCGGTCTCCCTGAGTGGTGGCCGGTTTACATGTCACCCTTCCACCTAGAGTTTCATCTCAATTCCTAACCTTTCTCAGGAGCACGTGGGGTGACGGTTTGCCAGCCTGGACGCAAAAGTCTGACAATCACTTCAGATGGCAGAGACCTTTTATTGCTTTAGGCAGGGCAGCAGTTACTGGTTGGGGTCTGGGCCACAGCCCCCCTCCCCGTGTCCAAGAGAAGACGGGCACGCGGGTCTCCAGTCCGAGTAGGCGCCACGCGAGGAGGCAGCGCTGTCCCTTCCTGCTGAGCCGCCAACGGCGCCCGCAGGGAGCTCCGAGCGTGCTCTCTGCAGGTCTGGAGGAGGGCCTCCCGGTCAGGGTCAGGGTCAGGGTCCTCCATCAGAGCCGGCGAGCTTTCCGGGGCCGGCAGCCGTTGTGCGGGATGGGCGTGTTGTCCGTGATGGAGATCACTTCCAGGCCCCCCATGGTCAGGCCCTGGATGGCGGACTGGGAGGAGCAGAGGACGGGAGGACGGCTTGGTGCCGGAAGTGATGGCCTAGTGGGTCCAGGCAGGGCTTGGACTCAAGAAGGGGCGAGGGAGATGGGGGTGGGAGGAGAGTGGAGAGGTTCCTGGCTTTGATACCTACTCACGAAGGCCTCGCAACCAAGCCCCTTGCCAGGTGTTCAGTGCTGCCCACTGTGGTCACACCTGTCGCTCCGCCTGTGTGCGCCCTACCACCTACGTCCAAAGACTGCCTGTGACCCGCACTCTCAGACTCACACTTCAGAGGCTTTAACAACTAAGTTGTTTCCTCTGCCTGGAATGTCCCCTCACCCGGACAGTGCCACGCTACTCTTGGAAAGTCAGAACTGTCACCTCTTTGGGGGGCTCCCAGCCCCTGGGGCACAAGCTTTACTGTGCAGCCACTCGTCTGTCCTGAGAGTCCCATCTGTGATGGTCCCAGGGCCCACCTTTCGGTCCCCCTGGCCTGGCACCCAGCAGCCACCCGGTGAATGTCTGCGGAGCTCAGCTAAGCGGCCTGGGCTTGCCTTCGGCTCAGCAGATTGAAACAGGAAGCCAAGCCCTCGCCCACCCTGCCCCTCCAGCCCCATTTGTCCACAGAAACAATCACTGCCACTTACCAAGCGCCCCGGCCCCAGGCCTTTCACTACCACCCGGATGTGGGTCACGCCCTTCGCTGTGGCTTTCTGGAGGAGAGACCAGTGGTTAGTGCCCAGCAGGAGCTGCTACATCCACGTATCAGCTCCCGCCCCCGGGGCTGCAGGGCAGAGCTCCAGGGAGAAGACACCCCCAAAGGCAAACAGGAGAAGACAGCAAGGACACAGGACCGAAGGCCTGGGTGCGGGCAGACGGCACACGAGCCAGGACCGCCTTTTGCCCAGGACAGCACTGCCACCTAGTGGGGCTTCTAACCATCGCTCATGGGCCTCAGGAGGGTGGACGCAGAATCTCAGGCCGCCAGGAGCCCGGGACCTGTAGGCAGTGCTTCAACACCCACTAAGCCAGTGTCCTCTTACCATTTTACATCTTTAGTGAAAGTTACACTTTTCTTCACTGATGACAAAGGCACTTGAAGGAAATCCTGGAAACATGCAGATGTCACCGCACCCCACCCCGCAGACGCCACTGTTAACACTGCCCCCTGGTGGACATGAGCACCCGCTGAGGGTCATGAATGCAGAGCAGCCAGTGGCCTGGGCACTGAGCCGTGTGCAGGCCAAGGTTCTCCTTCAGGAAATACCTGTGTTTTGGCAGAAGCGTGTGACCCTCTGGAGGCCCCTGGGCACAAGCTTTGGTCCCAGACCAGAGCAGGGAGCTAACGGCACTGCGTGGCTCTGAGCGAGTCACAGTCTGTCTGAACTGGCTCAAAACACGGACAGTGCCGGCGTCTGAAGACTCACGGTAATGAGTGTCCAGTGTCTGCAGTACTAGTAGTGATGGTCATAAACATGCCAGCAGCGGCACCCTGCCAATCTGCGTCTAGGAAGGTCTGCCACGTGCAAGCTCAGACATGCCTGCGTGAGGGTTTCACCACACCACGTCTTCCCGGGGACTGCCACCCCCTCGCCACCCCCCAACACTTACCGCGGCGGCGGCGATGCCCGCTGTCTGTGCCGCGATGCCCGTGCCCTTCTTGGCGTTCTTGAACCCCTCGGTGCCGCAGGAGGTGCGGGCAAGGGGCTGGTTGGCGGCAGAGAGGACCTGGATCTGGGTGCTAGGAGAGCCGGGGAGGCGCAGAAGGGAAAAGGGACCACTCAGGGGCTTGAGAGAGCGCCAGCCTGTGTCCTCACGAGCCCGAGGGAGAAGGCAAGCCAGCTGCTTTTCCTCGGAACGGAGCCGGTAACATGCTGTTTGAACTCTTACAGGGGGCGCCGGGGAGGGTCGGAGGCAGTCCCCTGAGGACACTGAAAACTGACCGGTCATGTGGTCTAGGGAGCTCTGTTATAGACCGAATGTTTATGTCCCCCACATTCACATTGAATTCCTAACCCCGAATAGTATGGTGTTTGGAGGTGGGGCCTTTAGGAGGCGATTAGGTCGTGAGGGTGGCGCCCTCATGAATGGGATTAGTGCCCTTATAGTGGGACTCTGGAGCGCTCCCTCGCCCCTCCCACCCACCGTGTGAGGGCACCACGAGAAGCCGGCCCTCCCCAGAACCCACCATGCTGGCACCCTGACCTCAGACCCGTTTGCAGGAAAGCAAATCTCAGCAATAGGATATGCCCAACCCAGCTGACATTTTCATGAAATCTGAGCGAACGTCATAAAGAGGAGGGGGTCTGGGGGTCCCGTGCACGGATACCACCTTGCCCCCCTGTGGATGGGAGAGGAACCCCCCAGACCTGCCCCTGTGTCCCCCTGCCCACTCACTTGTTGTAGGAGGCCTTAATGTGGGCGATGGGGATCTCCTCAAACTTCTTCCCCGCCCACCTCAGGGGGCTCTCCTGGCCTGGGACTGGCGGGTAAATGCTGCAATGAGATCATTGAATGGAAAGTTGTCCTTACATTTTTTTTAAAGTCAAAAAAATCCACCCCAGAGCTGAGAATAACCCAGCAGGATAGATAAACTCAATGAAAACAGCAGCCCCCGACCTGCCCCTGAGATACAACCCATCCCTCCTGGTGCAACCAGACAGGACTTCCAATCCTTTGTAGGACTGAAATCTTTCTGCAACTTAAAAATACAGTTAAACCGCTATTATTTCATCATCTGCAGATGGCATCTTGTCTCTAAAAAAAAAGGGCAACAAAACGTTAGTAATACTTATCATTATTGCAAAAAAAATCCAGTATCCCTTAGAAGAGAGGTCAGCAGACTTTTTCTGTGAAGGGCCAGGGAGTAAATATTCTAGGCTTTGTTGGCCATGAGGTTTTGTAGCATAAAAACGGCTGGATGTAGGACAACAGTGAATCAATGTGCGTCGCTGTCCCAATAAAACTTTATTGCAACTGGCCAGATCTGGCCCAGGGAATGTAGTTTGCAACCCCTACCCTAGCCCAATGGTTTGCTCTGTGAACAGCAGAAGCACCTGTTACTGTGACGGTGGTTAGACCCGGGAATCTTATCTCTACGACGCCCCAGGCCAATCCCAGGTGAGCCCGGGGCCCAGAACACTGGCCCAGACACTGCAATGAGTTCGCGATCCTTTGCGATCTCAGCCCAGCCTGCTCTCTGGCCGCCCTAGGTCAGCACTCCTTTTCAAATGGAGAAACCGTGGTAGGAACAGGGACACAGGGTTCTCTGGGAACTGTTCAGAGCTTTGTCATCATGCTGTGCTCTCTTTTACACACACACACACACACACACACACACACACACACAGCTGTCATCAAGCCCTTGAGATGGGAGTGCACCCACTGCTGCCCCCTGCCTACACGTGCACATCAGGTCTCTGTCTGTACCTGCTCCTGCCATGAAATTCAACAGATTTAGGTTTACGCTTATCTGAGAACAGTCCTCCCCTCAGCCCTACCCACTTCCCTAGAGATATTTTTAAAAAACAAAACCCACAGGGATACAAGAGTTACAAGTGAATTCTCTCCTGCTATGCCTGATCTTGAGAGATGATTGAGCACCTCAGCAGGTTCCTGGCTTATCAGCCTACACACATGGATGAGGCCGAGATGACATTCATGTTTAAAACATCACCGCTTCCCCCATTGATAAATTCCCCCATGGACATGGGAGTGAAGACAATTAAGCCGACTAAAGTCTGAATGGACCAGTGCGATGCCTTATGCCAGTGGTCGGCAAACTCAAGAGTCCACAGAGCCAAATATCAACAGGACAATGACTGGAATTTCTTTGGAGAGCCACATTTTTTAAACTTAGACTCCTTCTAACGCCATTTCTTCAAAGTAGACTCGCCCAGGCCGTGGTATTTTGTGGAAGAGCCACACTCAAGGGGCCAAAGAGCCGCAGGTGGCTTGCAAGCCACAGGTTTGTGATCCAGCAAGGACTTGGAACTTGAGCCATTTAACCTCCCAGGACCAATGCACAAAGGAACCAGCGGTTCACTGCACAGAAGCAGAACAGGCTGCCGCCTCTTCACAGCCATCCTCAGACCATGGACACCTAGACGGGGGGCCAGCGCACATGCATCACTTCTGCACGGCTGCGGACGGACATCAGCCACCTTTCCCCGCTGAGGGTCCACCAGGAGGGCCAAGTCTTGCTGCCATCCCTCAGGCATGAGAACTTGCTGACCCCTGGGCCAGTCCAGCCCCGGGGCCCTGACACGTGGATCTCCTCTGGGTACGTTTCAGCTCTGAGCCCCAAAGGTGGAGACCCTGTCTCAGGGTCTTCAGCCTGTTTCCCACCTGCGCTGTCGGCACTTAGAAACGGAGACAGATGTAGAAAAATGCAGTGATCGGAGCTCACAGCCCACTCCTCCTGTCATAATTATGTACGTTTTCAGTAAGAGCCTTCCAACCCGTGGCTTCTGTTTCTTGACTTCCCTTTCTCCCGTGATCCTGTGTCCTCCATCCTACCCCGGCTACTTACTCCTGTCATTACCAAACCTGCAACCCCATCGCAACCTGGGTTCCTAGCATCACACGCTGGCCGCCACCTCCTGGCGCACACACTGGGTCTCCACTGGGAACTCTTCAGTCCCACCCATCCTGCTAGCTCCTCCCTTTCCCTGACACACCTATGCTTTCCATTCTGCCCCGACCTCAGGTAACTTATATGGCCAGTCAATATAACCACTCCCTTGCACACACCCTCAATGCCCACCCCTCACCCCTACCCACTTCATGGCACTCCTGGCAAACCCCTAACCCTGGTTAAAGCCATCTCTCCAGCCACTGTGAGCCTGTGCGTACACAATGGGCTGGAAAAAAACAGACAGCAATGCTGACTGGCCTCCCTATGTCATGTTTCCTAGCCTCAGCACTACTGACATTTTGAATAAGATCATTCATTGTTGTGGGGGTCTGTCCTGCATCCCGTGGCCTCTACCCACTCACTACCTAATGTCCCCCAAGTTGTGACAATCAAAAATGTCTGCAGACATTGCTAAAAGTCCCCTTGGAGGCAAAACGGCCCCAGGTTGAGCCATTCTTTATTTTAATGGCTTCTGACATCAAGTGGGCCCTCAGCTCTGCTTGGCAATCATACAGCACATCCCCCCTCAATCGTCCCTCCGGTCTCCCATTTGACTGCCTCATACCTTCTTTTGTCTCCCCCAACCTGCTTCCTCGCTGACAGCTGATGGCCTTCAGGGAGGAATGGAAGCAATCAGAGTTCCCTCGGCTCCCGTTCCAAACATCTGTGCCCGCGGGCTTTGCATGCTCTCCTGTTTCGATGCTTCGCTTGTGTGTGCGCCTCTCAAGGACATCTCTCCGGCAGCCTTTCGCCCCGGCTTCATCGCTTTCCCCTTCGCTGCATCACGCCCATCAGCAAAAGAGGCTGCCTTCCCCCCACCGAAAAGCAAAGACCCCTCGCTCCACAAGCCTCCTTGAGCTATTGCCATTTCTCTGTGACCCTTACAGCAGATCTAACTGCCCGCTATTCCTTCCCGTCTTCTATGCTCCTTGAACCCACTCCAGTCAGGCTTTAGCCCCCATCACCCCCCAAAAAATGCTGGGCTCAAGGTCACTGACCAACTTACAAAGTTAAGTGCAAGGAGCAAGTTGGTCTTCAGCCTATCAACCTGTCGTATCAGCAGCATTTGACGTAACTGACCTTTGCACTTGAACCACATAAAAAAAAAAATCTCTCCAGGTTTTGCCCCCACTACCCTTCTCTCTTTAAATCTATTTCTATTGATTTCAGAGAAGAAGGGAGAAGGAGAGAGATGGAAACATCAATGATGAGATCATTGATCGGCTGCCTCCACTACCTGTTTTCTGTCTCTCTCACTGATTCCTTCCTCATCTGCCAAATCGCTAAATGTCAAAGGGCTGGAGGGTTCAGTCCTTGGACTACTCTTGAACTTCTCTTCCTCTCTTGATGATCTTGTCTCATCATCATCTCTGGCGCTTGTGCCACATGTATGTGTGGCCCAGATCTGTCCCCCGAACTCCATGTCTAACAGCCAACTTCCCATCTCCACTTGGATGTTAATTATCTCCAGTTTGGCCATCCAATCCCAGGCTCCTGTAGTCTTCCCTGTCTTTACAACTCCATCTTCCTAGTTGTGTAGGCCCCAAATTTGAGAGTGTTCCTCCATCCCTCTCCTTTTTTCACACCTCACATTAATAAACCACATTGGTTCTACTTTCTAAATGAACCAGTCCAACCATTCATACAACCTTCACAGCTGTCACTGGTCCACACCACCATCATCTCTTGCCTGGATTATTTCAATGGTCTGACTGCTTAGAATTCTTGCTTCCCAACAGCTCAATGTCAACACAACAGCCAAAGGGACTCTTTAAAAAATGTAAGCATGATTGCGTCCACCCTCTTCACATCTCTCCAGTGGCTTCCCATCCCATCGGAGTAGAAGCTGACGTCCGGACGATGACCTCAGGCAGCCCTGTTTGCCTACGACACTGCTGGCCTCTGCTTGCACCTCCTATTTTCACTCCTCCCTCCATGTTGGTCGTACTGCTTATAAACACCGGAGACACTCCTGCCGCCCGTCATACTCCCAGGTTTTACTTGTTTTATATTTGCTGTCTTGTCTTGCTGACCTCATCTGCCATCACAGATACACACCTGAACATCCCATGTTCTTTCACACCACATGCCTTTACACACATGCCCTGTTAGCTCTGCCTAAAACAGCCCCTTTCATCTGGCCCAGCTGAACTCCCGTTCGGTGCAGGTGTCAGCTCCACACTTCCTTCTCTGCAGTCTCACCCGATACACCCAGGAGCTGGACACGCATTCCTTCACACTTCCCGCAGCCAGCTCTCACCTCCCGTTTATCACTCATCAGATTCTGGTGAAGATGTTTGCAGGTCTGTCCTCCCTGCTGTGGGGAGGAGAGGTGTTTTGTATTGGTATGGGTGTATGGCACATAGTAGGTTCTCAGTAAATGCTTGTTTCGTGGATGTGAAGTGCACCTAGCACACGGAGGTGGTGGCAGTGGTGGGATGCAAGTCCCTAGGGCTGAGCACGGAATCTCCCTCAATCTTAGCCCAAAGTGTAGAATAATCAACGCCACAGAGTAGCGCCTTCTCTCTTCCCATTTTGCGTCTGCTTAATCTGTGCGACCTGCGCTCCCTCTCAGAGGCGGAGAGCTGATCTGCCTGTGCGCCTCTGACATCTACTCATTCATTCATTCATCACACGCTCACCAAGCATCCACTTTGTGCTAAGTCTCATCTCCTTTGATTCTCACAATCTCTGCCGGCACTTTATCCATTTGTAGTCGAGAAAACGGAGGCTTAGAGGTTCATTTCCATAAAGAGGCACAGGTGGCAAGTGACAGAGCTGGTAATTCACCGGTTCCCGGGCTCTGGAGGGCGGTGCGGGCCTCGGGAGGGCTGGACCGAAGCGGCCGTGCTCACCTGAAACTGCTGCTGCTCGGAGCCGGGGTCGCCGCCGGAGCCGGAGTTGGGGTCGGGGCCGCCGTCTTCTCCTCCACCTTCTGCTTGGCCGCCGCGTCCTGCAGCCGCTGGGCGCCCGTGTGGATGGCGGCGGCCGGCACCCGGGCCGCTATCCTGCGGGGACCCACAGCTCGCTGAGGCCCCCAGGCCTGCCGCCCGCCGGAGTCCCCATGGCTCCCGGGACGAGAGCAGGAGCGTACCCTGGAGGTGGCCGTGGGTTCGGAGGGGCGATCACTCTTACCTGCCCGTGGGCGTTGGGCAAGCCCATGACCTCAGGAGCCGAGACCCCGCGCTCCTTACCGCCTGCATGACTTGAATTGACCCCAGCGAGTTCCCGTCCGCGGCGCCAGCACCATGAGCGCCCGTGGTGGTGGGGGGGAGCCCCGAGGGAAAGTCACCTGATTCCCCTTCGCCGGGCCCGTTAAAGTCTCTTATCCCGGTGTGTGCGCTCCATAGTAACCATCGCTGTGGTTTTCAGCTGGGAGTTTCTTCTCTTTCCCCTAAATTCTAACAGGAGCCCTTCGCGCCCCCCTCCGCATGGAAATGGTTCATTCCGGTCCTTCCGGACGTGCCGTCCCCGCGCTGCCTTGTGGGAACACGGGATTGGCCGGGCCGCGGCCGCGGTGCATCACGGGAGGGCAGGGATGGCGGCGCCCGGGGCGCGCGCGCTGCTGAGGCTGGCGAGGGGCTGGCGGCGCCCGCTGTGGGCCGGCGGCCCGGCGTCTCGCGGCCTGACCCTGGCGGCCGCCCCCTCGAGCGGCGGCTCCCCGTGGCGTCTGTGGGGGGCGCTGTGCCTGCAGCGGCCACCCGTGGTCTCCAAGGCGCTGACCCCTCTGCAGGAGGAGATGGCGGCTCTGCTCCAGCAGGTAGACGTGAGGCGCGGGGTCGGGGCCTCGGGGTGCCGCCTGTGAACCCATGAGAGGCTCGCGGGCTCGGGCTCGATCTCGGCTCTGGCCCCAGTGAGTCTGTGTGCACCAGCTGCCTCACCGCCCGGAACGTCAGTGCACTTGACCCGCAAACATGGCACCTGTCTTTTGTGGTTGCTCCGGTGCACAGTAGGCGCTCAGTGAAAGGCAGTTGGTTTTCCTCGGCCTCCGTTATTGTCTCCTCAGGCAGCTAGCTGGGATTGCGTTCAGAAGTGGTGGTAAACGGGACGGACTCGGTCGCTGTCAGAGTTGGCGGTTTGGAGAGGAGACGGTCTTTGTGTGGGATTTTTTTTTTTTTTTTTTTTTTTTTTGAGGAGAAAGTCTTAGCCACCCGCGAGATGCCCGTGAGAGAGCCCGCCGTTTCCCCCCCAGGACTGTGGGCGTGAGAGGCGACTGAGGAGCCCGGGGCAGGAACTGGGTGTAGAGGCGGCGAGGGTCTCCGAGGAGCGGCGTGCTTCTGCAGAACCGGAAATGGCTCCTGTCTGAGCTGCTGGGAGCTAAAGCTTCCGTGCAGTGCTGTGTGCTAGGCGTGCTCCTCTCCTCGCCTAGAGTTTTCATTAATCACAGGGGTGCACGGAGCACTCACTATGCACAGACACAGCGCTTCATGCGGGTGGGGAGAGCCAGATGGGAACCAGATAATTAAATCACACGACTAGGTGTACCTGTTAGTATTTCGGATTGACTATTAACCGGTTAAAAATGCAGATTTTGTAATTAAAGAAAACACGATAATTTCAAGAGAAGCATCAAAAGTGCTTTATTCAAAGTGATGTCCATCGATAGCTACACACAGCCCCCCTCTTTCAGGTAATTTGTGGGTACCTTCCCAGTAGATCTTTTCTTGTTTTGAGGCAGACCATTCAGAGACCCCATTTTCCACTTCTTTGTACATTTTGAAGTGCTGATCAGAAAATGCTTGTGCCATCCATCGGAACAAGTGGTCATCTGAAGGAGCAAGGTCTGGTGAATACTGTGGGTGGGTTCAATACCTCCCAGGCAAGATCTAACGTGTCTTCAACTGGTTTTGAAGTGTGTGATGGTGCGTCGTCATGAAGCAAAATTACTTTGCAGAGTCTTCTGGCCCATTCTGGTCATGGTTCAAATTGATTCTTTGTTGTCAGTAGCGATCAGTATTAACGGTTTCGCCTGGTTTTAGACTCTCATAATACACCACACTTCCCGATCCCACCAAACTTAGAGCATTGTCTTCTTTCCGAAGCAACTTGGCCTTGCAGTGATGTTGATTGACCTGCATCAACCCATGATTTTGTGTGTTTGGCATTCTCAAAATAAATCCACTTTCTATCGCCAGTCACAATTCAATGCAAAAAAGACTTTCAGTTGATGTTTGGGAAGGAAAATGCACAGTACTGTTAGAGAGTTAAACAGGGACCCCTAATTTTAATCTTATGAGAGGTGTCAAGGCTTCTCTCTCCAAGAAAGTGGTATTTAAACTGAGTTCGGAAGGAGGATTAGGAAATCTCCCTGGAGGGAAACTAGGAAGAAAGATTGGCGTCTGTAAACTCCATGGGCCACGGAAGTCCCTGGTGAGTGAGGTTCCCATCAAAGACTGACATGACTACAGCGTGGCCTCTGTTACTCGCCATCTTTTTTTTTTTTTTTTTTTTTTTAGTTGTATTGTTACTGATTTCAGAGTGGGAGAGAGAGGGAGAGAGATAGAAACATCAGTGATGAGAGAACTATTGATCAGCTGCCTCCTGTACACTCTACACTGGGGATGGAGCCCACAACCCGGGCATGTGCCCTGACCAGGAATTGAACCGTGATCTCCAAGTTCATAGGTCAACGCTCAACCACTGAGCCATGCTGGCCAGGCTGCTGTTTACCATCTTGACCTCCAATCACATTATCACATTTTAGCAAATGTAACTCAAGCCCACAATGCATTCTCTGTCTCCCCCTGCCCCCGCTCCCCGTGGTGTTTTGATTGTATGTCTGGTTGTGTTGGGTGGTAAACTTCTGAGTCTGTCTAGTGTGCTATAACTCTGTTTTATTTCCTCTTTTAATTTCCCCAGATCGAAATAGAGAGAAGCCGGTATTCAGACCATGAGCTTCGTGCTTTGGATGAAGCCCAGCGCCTGGCAAAGAGGAAAGCCGACCTCGATGACGATGAAGACGAACAGAATATATTGCTGGTACAGGATTTGGAAGAAATGTGGGAGCAGAAATTCCTGCAGTTCAAACCTGGAGCTCGCATAACAGGTGTGTGGTCCTTTTCAGGAGAAAAGGGAACAAGGAGAAGAAGAGTATTCTGGTTCCCAAGCCAAAGACAATTGCTTAACCCTGCTCAGTGTTTTAAGTAACAGATAATTGCAAATGACAAATCATCCGTCTTTCAGGTGGGAGAAGAAAACTTTGCCCCCAGTTCCTCACATCTGTCCCCAATATAATTTTTAAGGTCCATAGTATTTTTGAATAGGAGATAAAGATGTTGGGATAGCCTTCTTAATTAAACTTTAGAAATGTTTTCTGAATTGATCTCCTAGTTTGGACTGAGAGAGGGGGAAATTAAGGCTTTTCCAGTAGCTCCCTGAGCTTTATCTGGAATGTACTCACCATTTCACATATAGGAAGCACTTTAGGGCTTCTCTTTGGCATATCTGAATGGCTAGCATTACTACTCTTGCACTTTGGGGACATGAATAAGTAAAATAGGGGTTTTTGGACATTTGTTTGATAGCTGAATGACTGCCGGTCCAGGAGTACAAACAGCCTGGAGACTCTGGACAAAGGTATGCTCATATCCCTGGAGGGATGGAGCAAGATGGCACCCAATTTCACCATGCTGTTCAGAATGTGGTGCAATGTAAAGCTTTTGGCTAGTTTATTTTTGGAATTTTCCATTTATGATTTGATCGCGAGCGACTGAAATGGCAGAAAGCACAACCACAGATGGACAGGGACTCCTTAAGTTTTGCTGAGAGCAAGCATTGTGGCTCTAAAGGAAGACTGTAAAGCTCTGATCTCCTTGGTTCTGGCAGATCTCATGATCTCGTCTCCTCTGACCCCCATTTCTTCGCAGAAGCCGATAAAAAGAACGACCGGACCTCACTGCACCGGAAGCTAGACAGGAACCTCGTTCTCTTGGTCAAAGAGAAGTTTGGAGACCAGGATGTGTGGGTGCTGCCCCAGGCAGAGTGGGAGCCGGGGGAGACCCTCCGAGCGACAGCTGAGCGAACCCTGGCCACACTGGCAGGTGAGTGCTCACCACCCTCAACCCCGTGAGGTGCCCTTTGGACTCAGCCAGAGGACTTAAAGGTGACTGAGGACGGTGTAAAGGTAAGGATTTTCCTTCGATGAGGTGAGAGTGTGTGTGTCTGTCCTGCTGAAATTTTTAAACTTACTACATTGATTCTTGAACAACATGGGTTTGAACTGTGCGGGTTCACGTATATGCTGGTTTTCTTGAATAAGTATGTATAATATTGTAAATGTATTGTTTTCTCAATAACTTTTTCTCTAGCCTATTTTATTGTAAGAATACAGTATATAATACACACACATACGGAATATGTGTTTAGCAGCATCTGTGGCCTGGACCCATCCCCATCCCCTGTAGTCTGACAGCCAAAATGACAACCCAAACCATGTAGACGTGGCCAGGTAACAGCTGGGGAGGGACATCATGGTGCACTGGACGGGTGATGTCGATTCCGAAGGCATTTCCCCTTTGTGTACACCCTTCCGTGCGGCCGGAATGAGCTTGCTCAGACACAGATCCCTGTGCCTTCTCGCCCTAGAATCCTTACAGGATTTCCCTTAGAAGTTGGGACATTCAAGCATGGCCTGCAACTCCTTTCTGTTCTGATCGCGAGCTCATCCGTCATCCGTCTTGCCTCATTAATGTGCAGTCTGAGTTCTAACCTAGCAAACCTTTTCATTCCTTGAATAATGTGGTCTTTCATGCACCTCTGCTTGGACGCATGCTGGTCCCCGATCGGCTGCTTTTCCTCCGCCCTGGTCTGACTGCTCAGCTTTTAAGTCTCCGCGCGTTCGTTAAACATACTGTGGTGGAAGTTTGTCCAGGCCTCAGGGGAGGGAGGTTGCATACCATCTACAATGAATTGCACTGCATGTGCCTTACTCAGTGGTAGCAAACATCCTGCCTTCCGTTTGCTGGCCCTGTCCCAGCAGGGGGGTCACCGTGATGACATCACAGGACATGGCTCCTGCTCCCCGGGAGCTTCTGTGCTGGTGGAGGGTATGCTCTTTCACTTACCCCATTGCCCTGTGATTGTTCATTAACACGTTTCCCTCCCGAGCCGGAGTTCTGACCCCCTTGAAGGTACGTGCTGTTTCTATTTCTCTCCAGCCTCCAGCTTTCAGCAGAGTCTCCGGCCCCAGGAGGTACCTCCTGAGTGTTTTTGAGCAAGTGGATTTGGCAGGATCAGTGCGCAACCACTTTACGGGCCCTGCCACCATCTTAATTTAAGTACCCTTCCCTTGGGGGCCTGTGTGGCCAGCAGTAGAGGGAGCACGCAGATTGGGGGGTGGGGGGAGGGTTTGCTGTGCCCAGTGGTCCTGCAGATGGAGCCTGACATTTGCAGTTTTCAGGAGTAAAGGAGTGCCTGTTTG